CCCGGTTTTTTCCGGGGTAAGTGGGGATAAGGAAATACACAAGGCCTGGGAACGCGCGCTTCAGGGTCCCGGGGCACGGAGCAGTTTTGGGTGGTGACCCGAAGTTTAAAGTTTGGGCCGCGTACTTTAAAATCGTTTTTTGAGTTCGATCCCCTCCATTTGTCGCCAAAATTCGCTAACTTCGTTTCGTTGCTAGGGTTTTATTGCTAACAAGAACAAATACCGGTAATTCGTTGAGTAATATCCATAATCGCCGTTTTATCTCTCCCACCCGGACCGCGCTAGCGATCAGTCGTGTGCACTCTGTTACGCTCAATAAGATTTATTTTAAATTTGTTCATTAACCGGTCGCAGTAATCCACCACTGCAACTGTGAACCTAAATTGTTCAACAAAAATAAATATACCATGGCAGCATTGAGAACACCTCCGGGTAAACCAAATGTTTCACAACATGTATTATCAGAAAGTGATATTGCAAACCTCGATCCTGAAACTCCTTTGAGCTTTGTTGGGCGAAGACCAAAGAGACCCAGGAAGAAGATAGTCAGAAGTCCGAAGATTCTACGCTAAAGAAGGAGTTACTTTTCATTGCTGACAAACTGGAAGAAAGATCAAGATGCCACCTTAAGTAAATTGTGTGCAGACATGGCCGAACTAAAACAACAAAATTGTAACATTCAGGCTACCAGTGATGAACTAGAAAAGTCTATTAAGTTTATGTCTTCACAATATGAAGACATTAGAGGTAAACTTCTCGAAATGGAACGCGAACGCACGGAAAACTTATCCTACATTATAACACTTGAGAACAAAATAGAGGATATGCAAAAAAAGCTTAAGTCCACAGTTATCGAGTTCCGCAATCTACCTCAGCAGGTAAAGGATGAGACACAACAAGACCTCTGTGAACTTGTACAAAAGACTTGCAGTTCAGTCAACACTTCAATCGAGTCTTCCGAGATAAGAGACATATTTAGACTTACCACTAAGTTGGGCACTTCTATAGTTGTAACTGATTTAACCACTGTTCTGACTAAAAAACAGGATATTGAGTGGCGTAAGAGAATTTAACCAGACTCACCCCAATAACAAATTATCTTCACTAACAATCGGACTCTCAGGTCCCACAAAACCGATTTATGTCGTAGAGAGTCTCACAAATAAAAACAGAAAATTGTATTCCATGGCTCGTGAAACGGCAAAAACCTTGGACTATAAATATTGCTGGAATAAAAGTGGTAATATCTATATGAGGAAGAATGACGGTGATACACGATTGGTGATTAGAAAGGAAAGTGATTTAACCATTCTAAAGAAACAATGACTGGGTGAAATATTTTTATTCCATTGCATGTTTTTTACATTAATACAATACCGTAAGACTGAGTGTACCGCTTGCCTTACGTTCTCTCTAGTCGTACGACCGCTTATCTATTGTATGTTACGGGTCGTTTGTATATTTACCCACATTTTACTTTTATATTTTTCATATTTAAGTTAAATCTATATAATTATACTAAAATACTAAACACTTACATTTCACACGCACAAAAACTAAACAGACACACATGTGTACATTGCCTCCAAAATTACTCACATTATTTACACAACTACAAATGCGATGGTTGATATGGTCAGACTGCAATTGTTTGTTTATTTACCTACAAGTTACTTTAATTAATATAATCGCTCATTTTCCTATTTCAGTCTAGTGAAACTCCCTATATATTGGGTGCACATAACTTACATATATTAGATGTACACACTTTAATTACTATAATCGTTCTTTTTCTGCTTAAGTCCAGTGAAACACCTTATGTATTGGGGGTACATATGGGTGGGATGTGTTCCGGTAAGTTATTTCGTAAACTATACTATACCGACAGGTCTGCGTTATTGAGTGACGGGTATCAAATGTGCCCGAACTATAATATGATCATGCTGAGTTGTACGCATTATTTGTTAAATAATACGATAGCAACTAGCTTTAGTCAACAAATATGTATTTTTATCACCTGCTGGTATTCGGCTTGGTACGGGCAATCCTTTTATTAATTTATACACCTGTTTTTGCCACCTTTTAGTAATTATAATTAACATTCGCTGCAATTAATGATTTATTGGGTAACTTGGATAGTGTTTCATTCTGTGACTCCGTGACATGCGATCTGAACGATTTTAGAAACCTATTACCTACCTTTTATCCGTGGTATCAATATATTATCGCAAACATACGTAGTGTAAACGCAAATTTCTCGGAACTCTTGACTTTATTAACGAGACTAGAGAGATCTGTGGACCTTATTGTGCTGTCTGAATGCTGGCTTTCATGCAACCCGGACATTCCCCAACTCGACGGGTATGTCGCACACAAAACTTTATTAGTACATAACAAAAATGATGGGGTCATTGTTTACATTAAGTCAACTTTGTCTAATATTAAAGTAAGTGAACCGGGTCTGTCAGACGCGAGTAGTTTATTAATCACTGTGGGCTCGGAATTAGCCATAATTGCAATTTATAGACCACACGCCTTTAAAGACCCTACTATATTTTTGCAATCCTTGGACTGCCTTCTTAATAATATTAAACGTTATAGAAACATTATTCTTGTGGGAGACATTAATATCGACATTGCCCAAGGTCACGTATCTTCGTACATAATTGATTATTTCGATACTCTTGCTCAATATGGTCTTTTCCTGGGGCACGACCTTCCAACTCACGGTTCTACATGCCTTGACCACATAAACTTGAAGACCATATTACCCTGTAAAGTATTTGTATTAGAAACTACTGTTACAGATCACTTCGCAGTGTTACTCACCATGTCCCTAAAATTGGCTACCCATAAAGTATGTTCCACGTTTACTAGAATCGATGAAAACAATCTTTCCGATAACCTTCGTAGCATCAACTTTGCGTCTGTCTATGAAGCTAAAGATCCCGATTTAGCAATGAAACTATTCATTGAGCCTATT